TGAATAAAATGATATATAATAAGTGTGGGCGCACATAATATGAAAGAGGTGAATTACGGTTGAACAGACATATAGTCATATTCCCAGTTTTGTTTATGTTTTATTTTGATCAAAACATGTACATTTGGCTCAGTCCTTAAAGGGTTAAGGTGGGCAGATGTTTTCTTCATTGGTGCTTATTTAACAGTTAGTTTTGCGAATTTATATGTTTCTATTTAAGCCACGATATCAGTTCACTAGTCACTATAGCCATGAGATCTAATCATGTTTACAGTGGAATTATTATCTTTCCAAATTAGACAATTGATCAGGATTAACATAGCCTGCCCATTTCTCTCTGACATAGCCAGTAACTCCCGTTTTGGAGCTACTTTTTGAACTTCGAAGAAGAAAATTTAGCCTATTGCTAATAAAGATAACAGCTATGGTGAGTCAAGTAAATAAACACATATGTTAATAAAACGGTCCATATGGTGTCAGGAAGACCTGTTGGTTGATTGAATACTCACAGTTGTCTGTTTCTTATACCAGATGCTCCTTTTCACAAGTATGAAGTGCAGCGACTGAGTGTAATCAGAGAAATCCTGGGCTTCAGTGATCCACAGAAAACATTCACGTAACAATTCCATAATGGAGGGTGAAACAAAGGCCACCAAATCTTTACATAAAATCTGAACTATCTATTCTTGAGAATGGCTAAGAAGACAGCACATGTAAGATGTGATTCAATAAACCTACTTATAGATACACCTAAAACATGTCTGATGTTATTCCAGGTCACTTCCATCATATCTAGGAGATTTACTGAGGTGGAAAGAGGAGAGACAGCTAGAGAAAGCACTTTATTTAATGGAGATTCATTTTCTACCTCGGTGATAAACTCCAGCGAATAGCATAAAAGGTTTCAACTTTTCTAATCCATCTGAGCATACACAGTGTTACCTCCTGCCTTCAAAATTTAGCAACCAATTTTATTACTTGTACGGCTCACAAAAGTAATTTAATAATTCATAATATTTTTATATACCAAGTAAGCAACTATTTAGTATCTAAAAATACATACTTCATGGGGCAGAGGTGGCCATCCGTTTAGAAATGTATTCTGAACATCTGAACAATAGAACAACTTATATGGCGGGACAATAAAGTGAATTTGTAATATATTTATTGAGATGTGATGGGGAGATTTGCAAAAACTAGCAAAAAGGAAACCCAAAATTAAATAAATTAAATAAAGTTATACAATAGAATGATATAATGTCCTAATAAAACACAATTAGAATTGCTTAGTGTTGCTGTGCTAGTTGAATAGTTCCCTTGAACGTTCCAACTGGTCTATGTCTGCTGTGTGCATCTCTTATGATTACCTAAGAAAACAAAAAGTTACCTGCGCTCTCTCCTTAATCCCTACGTATATTTAGACAAATGGAGGTCATTTAGTTGCTTCAATGGCCTTTGGAGGGAATGCCCACCTGCCAATGTCAAGGCAGACCCCTCTAAGCGGGTCCTAACACTGACCCTTCAGCCTGCTTCCTTGAGATTCTGGCAAAGATATCTCTAATGAGACAGAGAGGGGTATTTTTTTATATACACCCCTATATACTTATTAACCCTTAATGATTACCTGCAGGCTGACAATCTACAAAAAATTCTGCTCGACAGGCATTTGCCCATTAACTCAATCTGGAACCTGAAATCTAGTATTGCAATAATAATAGGTCAGTACACACCTGTCTTCCCTGTTTTTGTTCTATCTTCCTGTTTTTTTCTACCTTTGTCTGTTTCTGTCCCCTGTTTTTGACCACCTTTTTGTATGATCCATTCCTTTCATGTTTGTTACTTGCCAGGTCACCATCTAATGGATGCTCGCATATACAGTACAATTGGTAAATATACTGACTTTTTAATCTTTAAAATATGGAGTCTGTGTTTGGCAGTCCAGATATTTTTCTTACACTTGACAGTCTGTCTTCTCTCTCTTTTTTTTTTTTTTTAATATTCATGCTATTTGCTTTAGAGTAATAGTGTAGATGTAGTGATGTGTAGAACGTTGTCAAAATGTGACCTCATCTCAACACAGAGAGTTGACTATAATAGTCCAAAGTAAATGTATATGTGTATATAGGATATTTATTGCCTTTGTGTAATATTAAGATTTTACTTCATGGTTTCAGATTTAGTATGGATACAAGTTGATTAACCTTTGGAAATTAAGAAAATGAGTTGATATTAGACTTCAATCACAGTTCGACAAAACTGCCTAATATTTATGTACAGTATTTATTAATTCAAATCAGATTGAGGTCATTAATACATTTCTTAAAACCGCTTTGACATTTTAAGTTTTGTATATTCTTCTCCAAATATGAAGAACTCTTCCTATTGTTCCGTGATATGTTGAAGAAAGGGGACATTTAGTCCCCATAGCAGGACCACATCTCTGGAAGTGAAGCACACAATCAAAAGAGTAAATAAAAAAATATCACAAGGTAGTCAATACATGCCAAAGTAAAGTGTTTGAAATTTCATCCCCACTATTATATGGCGTTCAAATGAAAACAATGATTGCAAAAAGAAAACAATATCAGCGCAAAAAATAATAATAATGAAATGCATCACATAAATTAAGTGTGAGATGCTCACATCATAGTTTCCTGTTTGCAAATGTAATGTTGTGGCAGGTTTTTAAAAGAATTGGAGTTGTTATGCTTGGACTGGATTCATTCAAGTACTGAAAATCCCCAGAGAGCCTGTATTGATATAATTTAAAAGGTTGTACATTTATACATTACTTGGTGATAGGATAGGTGCATTTAAATATTTATGTCTATGCATACTAAATGAATGAATGACTTAGCCAAAAGTAGTTATAGTAATAGTCCCTGTAAGCCCTTATAACATCAAATAATTTATGATGCTGAAATAAATATGTGGTATGATACATTATATTAATATGTGACTGAATAACATTTACAAGGGTACTTGTTTTTTCTTATGATAGCTCTCATTAGATTAATATGGTGTGTAGCACATAGTTGTTGACACAGGTTATATGTTAAATCAATGTGTACTATTTATATTCTTCCATTACTATGTATATAGAAAGAGGTTAACTAGTGGAGAGGCACTTAAGATATTCATAAAGATTTTTTTATTGCTTCTACAAGAGCCTCCTTTATTACCATTAAAGGGTTCTGGTTATTCTTTTGTCTAGAGATAAATTATTTTCATGGCCTGAGATTTAATGCATAAATCTATGATGCAGAGGGATTCATCATTTATCATTTTCTCTGACAAGATAAAGATAACACATTTTGGCACTTTTAACAAAGAGTAAAATTAGAATAGAAATAGTTTTGTGGACAGTGCCTATGTCTGGTGATTTTAAGGATTTAGGCTAAATTACAAAAATTAAGAGGCATGACATGTATCGCTGTCATAATGTCACAGTTCTCATCGTGACATCCAGACGGCCAGATGTGGTCGCTCCAGAAGTGCCCAACAGGGGATTTTAACCCGGGTCCTTCATCTGCTAATATGCCTCTAAGCCACAGCAGAATCTTTTTTTTTTTTTTTTTATAAGTTCTATCCTTGCTATTCCTAGCTTTGTCTGCAACACTAGGGTGCTGGCCTTCATCGGTGGCTGATACCTGTGCTTCACCTGAGGCAGATCGCTAATCATCTGAGTATTTAAGCACTGCCTTGCCCTGGGAACTTTGTCAGTTCTTTGATTCTGGTGATCGTGTATTGTTCCTGTTTTGTCTCCTGAAAACCTGTTCTCCAGATTGACCTTGATTTAGCTTCATTTATCCTGACCTCTGACCTTGGCTTACCCTCGTTTATCCTGACCTCTGACTTTGGCTTCTCCTTGACAATCCTCCTGCTTGTGTCCTTGCCTGTACTGCGACTTGGAGCTTGATCCTGCACAGCCCCCATGCATAGGCCAGGTGGCTTCTTATCTGGTCACCTTGATCTGTGTTTATTTGCAAGAGTGAGCACAAATCTCTGCCTGACGAACTCCCACCTCAGGTAAGACCCTGACACACAACTCCAGAGGTTCCTTGGTTGACCAGTATCCAATGCAAGTAGCCATCGTCTTAGATTAGGGGAAGGGGAAGGTGTAAAACTGAGACAGCCATGAGAATGCTTAATTGACACTCGTGGTTTGTTCATAGGGAAAACGGAAGGGCTTAAAGTGACACCTAAGGCACTGTAACTACTTCATCTCATTGAAGTGTTTTTTATGAATGTAGCTCCCTGATTCCATCCTTCCATTCAGCGGTAAACCATTTTCAATGTTTTAATGCTAAATAACAAAACCCAGCAGCCCATCCTCTCTATGTTGCTAGAACTAATGAGGAAGCATTAGCCTGGGCTGTGATTGGTTGAGACTGTCAGCTGACTGCTTTCAGCCTATCACAGTGCTTATTGCTAGATGGAAGTTTTTCCTCATTTACTAAGGCACACCTCCAGTAGAGGCTGGGCTGTGGGTGGCCAGGGATCCTTGAGTTCGGAGTGATTGTTTGCTATTTGTTTCAGTACCGATAGGGTACTTTTTAACAGGGTACTGATTTTGAGTACCTATTATATATTCAGTGTCTATACATAAGCACGTTCAATATATATATTTTTGTCACATTAGATTATAATTCAAATTTTTTTTTTTCAATTTTATTAACTTAGTACTCTGTTTGGTAGCTATTTATCTGTCATTTTTGACATTTATTTATGAATTTTCAGTTTCTATCCTGGGCTGTCTAGGTACACCACTTTTTGTCTAGCCAGAGATCCTTATTTACTGTTAAAATGGTTCAACATGAAATGAACAGTCATTAAACTGGTTATAGAGTCTTCTGGTCCCATCTTTTCTATCAGCATTAAACAGTTTTTAAAGTTTTAAAGTTTTAATGCTAAACAAGAGTCCCGGCAATCCATCCCCTCTGTGCTGCTTTGGCTAATAAGGAAGTATTAGCCTGAGCAGAAATGGGCAGCTGTGATTGGCTGAGAGTGTCAGCTGACTACTTTTAGCCTGTCAGAGTTCCAACTGACGGTATGAGTGGGTATGACAAGGAAGTGTGTAATCTCTGCCTTAGCTACACATACTGAAGGGGCCGGACTGTGGGTGGCCAGGGACTCTTATTTTGTGGCATACTGCACAAACATGGTGCAACACTGAATGGAGGGACAGTGCCAGGGTACTCCAGGCACTATAACCAATTCAAAGAGATGAAATGCTTATAGTGACTACAGTGACCCTTTAACTATGATAGCAGATAACTGGTAAGTAGCCAGAAAACACTGCTGCAAGGTACGTCAGAGCATAATGAGTTGTCTAAAATGGTTTGTGTGAGAATAGACTTTACACATCCTCAGTCTACTCTAGAAATTGATATGTTATGTTACTCATTCACTTACACTGGGTGATATTAGAGCTTGCAGAACAGAGACATAGGCAGTGTTGACATATCTACAGAGGCATTTAGGGCAGCCCCAACCAGGTAATTGTCATAATAAAAAAAAAAACAACAACTATTGCAGGTAGTAAAGTAGTAAACTACTGATATTGTTTCTCTGAGGGGTGAGGGTTTATTTACAAATGACATGTCAGCAGATACCATACAGTACTGCAATACTATAATTTCCACTTCCCTTCTTCTTACACAGCACAGACTGACTCATTAATAATGAATGATGGCTGTTGGGATAAGTGGAGAATTGGGTCTTTTGTGATAAATAACCTATATAAGAGTACTCAGGGCATGCTCAGTCTGCTCCTGGAGGTGATTTCTGAACTGTTTCTCTTACTTTCCAGTATTTCAAATGAGCAGGATGTCCTGTGTGTTATAGTTCAAATGTCTTACTATTTTATGGTATGCTGATAGTGTGTCCTTCATTTCCAACACTGTGTGTTTGTTGTAGCATGCTACCAAACTATCCCAGGCCTCCAGGTTCAGTTCATTTGTTGTATTGTCTTGTACCCTCAATACTTTTTTTTTCTCTCCAATCTATTGTATCTAGTTATTGTAACAGAGTAGGGATAGTGTTAATCTTTTGATTGGAAGTTTTTTTGTATACTGTGTAACACACAATTATTTGTTTTTAACCATTTCAGTGCCAGAAGTGTGATGCTCACATTGCTTTGCAACAAATTTACATTTTATTTGTTTCCAGCCATTTGAAATTTTATAAAATAAAGTAAGCTTCTAAATGCACTGTGCAAGTCATAATTTGACAGTTAAAGGGTTACTCCAATAGTCAAAACCACTATAGCCCTCTGTAATGGTTAAGAGAGTAGAAGTAACATGGTGTCATTTTCCAATGGTTTCCCCTCTTACCTGGACCTAGATATGTAAGGTCTCCTCTGACTTGATGTGATGTGCATCCGGCATCTGTTAGAATCTGGATTCTAATCTTGCTGCCAATCATTGGATGAGAGCATTATCTGACAGCTCACAGCCAGTGATTGCAATTCTGATCACCTAACTGATGCAGGACATCCTCACGCTTTCCATAAGGATGCCCAGCGTCACTTGAAACCCCGTAAGTCCTAATGTGAGTGCGGCCACAGCCGTGCATGCGCATTAGATCTCCCTCGCCATCTGATGTTTGTGGAGGAGCAGAAGCTGAGTCTGAACCAGCACCGAGGGACATCAGAGCTGGACTCAGTTAAGTGACAGAAGTGCTTTTTTAGACACATCTGCAACACAGGAAGGAAGGGGTGCACTGTAGGAAGCTTCAGTGCCAGGAAAACAACTATAGTTTCCCTTTTAGCTCGGTATGTGCAGTGTTTCAAAGCGAATCACTACATATGCAGACTTCATGAACCATTACCACTTAAAATAACTAAGGTGTCATAGTGCATAGAGTAACCTTACGTTGCTTATCTCATAGTTAATGCCTTTAGATTCCTTTTCATTCCTCTTCATATTTATTGTTTCTTTGTTATTGATTATTTCAAAGTAGATCTTTGGTAGTTTATGTAACTTTCTATAAAACTATATTATGTATAATAGGGTTCACATATTTCAAGTTGTTTGCACAAAGTTAGGTTTATAATTAAAGAGATTATCTCAGCGTAAAACATAAAATTTGGGAAATGTCTGAATTTCTTTCATCACATTTAGTTATTTTCACCGGACTGTTAAATTTTATCTTCTACAATAAATGCACGATTAAACAATCAATAAGTTGCAACAGACTAGTCTGCCTTTTCCCCACCAAGGGAATATATTTATCTGGAACACAAGGTAGATTAATTTTCACCATCTGTGGATTCTGCAACATTTTAATAAGAGACACATTTGTAACTTGAGTTATTGAAACAATTACCTGATTAACATTATGTTATAGCAACACAAAAATCTGATAGCCTACTTACAGTATGTACGTGTAGGATCCTGAATAGCTAAGGACTGCATGGCATAGACAATTTAACAATTTCTACAACTGTAGATAGACAACAAGCACTTCTACAGGCTGTCCACTTTAGAATTTCCAATAAGTACGTTTTGACCTACTTGAAAGTAGAAAGCACATATTATTTAGTGTGCAGGTGTCACTGTCCCAAAATTATACTAATGATAGCCCGGGATTGTTGTCACTCAAGCTGAGAGAACTTGCTAGCATTTCAGTTCTGGACTGCCCTTATATGCAAGTGGTGTAGGATCACTCTGTAATAGAAACATAGAAACATAGAATGTGACGGCAGATAAGAACCATTCGGCCCATCTAGTCTGCCCAATTTTCTAAATACTTTCATTAGTCCCTAGTCTTATCTTATAGTTAGGATAGCCTTATGCCTATCCCACGCATGCTTAAACTCCTTTACTGTGTTAACCTCTACCACTTCAGCTGGAAGGCTATTCCATGCATCCACTACCCTCTCAGTAAAGTAATACTTCCTGATATTATTTTTAAACCTTTGTCCCTCTAATTTAAGACTATGTCCTCTTGTTGTGGTAGTTTTTCTTCTTTTAAATATAGTCTCCTCCTTTACTGTGTTGATTCCCTTTATATATTTAAATGTTTCTATCATATCCCCCCTGTCTCGTCTTTCCTCCAAGCTATACATGTTAAGATCCTTTAACCTTTCCTGGTAAGTTTTATCCCGCAATCCATGAACCAGTTTAGTAGCCCTTCTCTGAACCCTCTCTAAGGTATCAATATCCTTCTGAAGATACGGTCTCCAGTACTGTGTACAATACTCCAAGTGAGGTCTCACCAGTGTTCTGTGCAATGGCATGAGCACTTCCCTCTTTCTACTGCTAATACCTCTCCCTATACAACCAAGCATTCTGCTAGCATTTCCTGCTGCTCTATTACATTGTCTGCCTACCTTTAAGTCATCAGAAATAATCACCCCTAAATCCCTTTCCTCATATGTTGAGGTTAGGACTCTATCAAATATTCTGTACTCTGCCCTTGGGTTTTTACGTCCAAGATGCATTATCTTGCACTTATCCACATTAAATGTCAGTTGCCACAATTCTGACCATTTTTCTAGTTTACCTAAATCATTTGCCATTTGGCTTATCCCTCCTGGAACATCAACCCTGTTACATATCTTAGTATCATCAGCAAAAAGACATACCTTACCATCAAGACCTTCTGCAATATCACTAATAAAAATATTAAAGAGAATGGGTCCAAATACAGATCCCTGAGGTACCCCACTGGTGACAAGTCCAAGCTTCGAATATATTCCATTAACTACAACCCTCTGTTGCCTGTCACTCAGCCACTGCCTTACCCATTCAACAATATTTGAATCCAAACTTAAAGATTGCAGTTTATTGATAAGCCTTCTATGTGCAACAGTGTCAAAAGCCTTACTGAAATCTAGGTAAGCAATGTCTACTGCACCACCCTGATCTATAATTTTAGTTACCCAATCAAATCAATAAGATTCGTTTGGCATGATCTCCCTGAAGTAAACCCATGTTGTCTCTGATCTTGAAATCCATGTGTTTTTAGATGTTCAACAATCCTATTCTTTAACATGGTTTCCATCACTTTCCCCACTACTGAAGTAAGGCTTACTGGCCTATAGTTGCCTGACTCCTCCCTATTACCTTTCTTGTGAATGGGCACAACATTCGCTAACTTCCAATCTTCTGGGACTACTCCTGTTAACAATGATTGGTTAAATAAATTATTAAGTAATGGCACAAGTGAGCGAAAACTAGTTTGAGACCTGAGTAGTGTTTTACCTAAGGGCAGACTACTGAGTTTCTCTAAGCTTTTGCCAGGTCTCAGAGTACTCATATTCATTATTTTGTTCCAAAATAATACTAGTTTGTGATCAAATAAATATTTATATGTACATGGAAGGACCTCAATGAAAAGTTTCGTGTTTGTTACATGTTTTTTAGGTGATTCTCCCTACATATTTTCATACTTATATTATACAAGATTGCATTCTTCACAGATAATACTGTATAATAAAACCATTTAAACAATTGATTAATACATAGCGTAACAAGGCATCATTGACAAACATCTTGCTGCACGATATCATAAATGGTTTATTTAGAGTTTTTTGTATCAGTTTGACTATGTTATTGTTCATTATTTGCAACACCAGCATATGATTCACGATGAACATAATCCAATGTAAGTGGCCGAATGGACCTGAATGGAAATTCTCATATAAACCAAAGACGAATTTGGTCAGTTCGACAGGATTAGCAGAAATTGCCGTGATACCTAAGGAGAGAGTAACAATGAAAAGGAGAGTATGCATGTTTGCAAATTATATGTTATATGTTTCCGTTCTGCTGGGCCCCTCAATGGCAGCTGTTTGGGAAAACATTCATTGAGAGCATCTAGGCATGTAAAAAAATGGGTCTGGTTTGAAATCTGCCCTGCTTCAGCAGGTTTTGCACATGCTTAGTGTATTTTAAGAAGGAATTTTTTAAGAATTCCCATTTGGCTTGCAGAGCCACCTGCCCATGAGTGGATGTTCCCACCCATTGCCCCACCTATACGAGGTGCAAACAGGGCTCTAATTAAAATATTTAAGGGGTGAAACCTAGTGTACCCAAAGCTTCCACCCATGGGTAGTAGATGGGGGTTCTAATGATTATACAAAGGTGTGAACATGTCATTATCCTGCCCCCCAAATTGTGCATTTGTCCACCCACCCATCACTTGACTGGCTAAGGGTCCCCAAGCCTCTTGTTATCCTGCAGAACTTAGAGCCCTTGCCGGGTGAAGTCTTTTGATTTTTTCATTGTTTTTAAAAAAATGTTTTTTTGTATTTTTTATTTTTAATAGATGCATATTATGGATTTCAGTCTGGCCTTTTTTGGTGCCAAGGAAAACATCCCCTCACAACTAGCCGGGGGTGTGGTGTTGGACAATGCCAGATTTTAGGTGGGTAGACAATGAAATGTCCACAACCACTATATAATTATTTAGAGTCCCCAGCCCTCGCCAGTGGGTGTGGACTGGTGGGAAGACACTAGAACCCTCTCCTTGTATCATATGATAAGAGCCACCACCTGCTGCCCATAGGTGAGGCCTTGGGGAACAGGTCCCCCACTTGAATATTATGTTTGGGGACTCCCACAGGCAATGGGAGGGGGCTTTGGTGGTGTCATTAGTTATCTCCATTATATTATAGTAACCCCCACCTGCTACCAATGGGAGAGGCTGGGGTAGGAACACATTGTCCCTCTAGTTTAGTAAGCAGTCTCCACCCACTCACCACAGATTTAATAGCCCACACCCACAGACCATGGTTGGCCAGGGGGCTAAATAGTTATCTGTCTACATCCCTATTTTTTAAAGTCCCCCACCATATGCTCAATGGCTGCCAGGTTTTAAATATTAAGTAAATATGCCCCGATTGCCTCGTTGGAAGTAGGCAGCGTATGGAGGTTTAAAACCTCCCTTATAGTAATATGGGGATCTTATTGACACATATTCCTTTAATTTATTTTAAAATGTATTAATATGGTGGTTGGCTAGCAAGTGCTGGCCAGTCGCCACTTGGTTAAATCAGACAGGGTTTTAGCTATTAGCCCACTGCTGGCTAGCAAATAGCTCAGATTTTTTCAAAATCCAAATCCAATTTTAAAGCATCCAGACCTGCATATGAAACATTTAGGTTCCCATTTAGGCCATGGCGCTCGTTCGGAGCATGAATAGCAAAATCTGTACATTGTTAAATAGCATCAACAATATCTGGATTTTGCATTTTGAATGGTCTTGTACAGCACCGAGTGGTTTTGCCCCATTTGATATGGTGTTGGTTTTGATTGAATTGTCTTGGTAATGTGACAATTGCTCTGAACATATTTTTCATTTCCAACTTTCAATTACAGAATTCCTTAATGCAAGTTTTTGAACATGTGCAGTGAATGTTACCAGATCCAGATATAACCAGTGGACTGGATGATCTGTGAACAGGTTGTGGGAAATAAGTAATAGTCTGGCAGCTAAGGTGTTAATCTATGTATGCACAGTGTTTCATAGGTATATGCTGTAGATATACACTTCGGGCACCATGACCACTTCACATAAATGAAATGGTTATGGTGCTTGGAGTAATTCTTTAAATCACACTAAATGTATAACGAAATTAGTTCTAAATTACATTTTCAGATGCATAAATAATTATCAGTTGATGACCTGAAGTGTTTCAAATTGGCCTTGGGCCATACCACAAGCTACACCAAACATAATAAAAGTGTATCTATTTGGTCAGTTCAAAAGTGTGAAGATATCAGAAATGAAGGGACTATAGTGAAAACAAGGGTCTATACATAAAGCAGCAGAACAGAAGCTGGTAAGGGCATGTATGAGATGAATTCAAGAATGAGAAAAAAAGATGCACAAAGTAAGGCCTGGGAGACGGGTGAGATAACCAAACACTCTAGAGATAGTAGGATAATGGGAATAGAGCTAACGAGGAGATATTTGACATTCGCTAAAATTCATGTGATCAGCTGGCTGTTGCACAGCAATGATATCTTTTGAACCTGAATTCTGAAAGACGACAACAAACGGCATCAAAAGGCATTTGTAATGGTCTGACATGCAACAACTATTTATACTTATGAACACATCTGTCAAGATTTTCAGCCATTATCTGCAACACTATATATATATATATATATATATATATATGCTGCAAACAAATCATTTTAAAGTTTGTCTAATTGCCTATCTTGTTAATATTGCATTATGAAACATAAATCACAAAAGTGTAAACTGAGAAAGTGGATTTAATGTATTTTTTTTAACTATACAATATAAAGAAATTAGTCATACAATGTCAGTTTAGAATAAAGAAAAAAATATCTATCTTGATAAGTACATCATTGCCGAGTGCATTGACAGTTATTGTAATAACGTTAATTTACAGTTTTTCCCCCCTCCAATCCAGCAATTGGGTATAGAGCAGGAAATTAAACATTTTAAGATCAGAATAGTCCATTAAAAAAATAGGATATTTTGTAATTCCCAAAATTGTCCTAATGTGTGAAATTTCATGGTCTGTCCCATTTTGATGATAAATTTAACCATAAAGTTTGGAATTGTAAATTATGTCTAAATCAGCTGAAGTGGAATCATAGATGAAGAGAAATAAACTAGTTCCACTACTACCTAAAATTTTCAATTCCACGGCCAAGTCCTTATAATTCCTAGTTTGATGAAAAATCATGTGAATGTCTTAATACTTTAAGTAAAATTGTATTGCTTGTTATGCATGACAAGTCTGCAGCTGCTTCTGTGCAAAACTGCTGTGTTGCCATGGTATGCTCAATCATTTTCACACCAACATAGAAATAACCAACATGTTTACAATAGTAACATTCTAATGATTTTAATTTATAATGACTAGAGTAGCCATACAGTGCCTTGCAAAAGTATTCACCCCCCTTGACTTTTTACCTATTTTGTTACATTACAGCCTTAGGTTCAATGGTTTATTAATCTGAATTTTATGGGATGGATCAGAACACAATAGTCTAAGTTGGTGAAGTTAAATGAGAAAAATATATACATAAAACTATTTTTTAGAAATAGAAAATAGAAAATTGGCATGTGCGTATGTATTTACCCCCTTTGTTATGAAGCTCTGGTGCAACCAATTACCTTCAGAAGTCACATAATTAGTGAAATGATGTCCACCTGTGTGCAATTTAAGTGTCACATGATCCTTCATTACATATACACACCTTTTTTGAAATGCCCCAGAGGCTGCAACACCTAAGCAAGAGGCACCACTAACCAAACACTGCCATGAAGACCAAGGAACACTCCAAACAAGTAAGGGACAATGTTGTTGAGAAGTACAAGTCAGGGTTAGGTTATAAAAAAAATATCCAAATCTTTGATGATCCCCAGGAGCACCATCAAATCTATCATAACCAAATGGAGAGAACATAGCACAACAGCAAACCTGCCAAGAGACGGCAGCCCACCAAAATTCACGGACCGGGCAAGGAGGGCATTAATCAGAGAGGCAGCACAGAGACCTAAGGTAACCCTGGAGGAGCTGTAGAGTTCCACAGCAGAGACTGGAGTATCTGTACATAGGACGACAATAAGCCGTACGTTCCATAGAGTTGGGCTTTATGGCAGAGTGGCCAGAAGAAAGCCATTACTTTCAGCAAAAAACTAAATGGCATGTTTTGAGTTTGCGAAAGGGCATGTGGCAGACTCCCAAAATGTATGGAGGAAGGTGCTCTGGTCTGATGAGACTAAAATTTACTTTTCAGCCATCAAAGAAAATGCTATGTCTTGGGCAAACCAAACCCATCACATCACCCAAAGAACACCATCCCCACAGTGAAACATGGTGGTGGCAGCATCATGCTGTGGGTTGTTTTTCAGCAGCTGGGACTGGGAAACTGGTCAGGGTTGAGGGAAAGATGGATGGTGCTAAATATAGGGATATTCTTGAGCAAGGACGGAGGTTCACCTTCCAGCAGGACAATGACCCAAAACACACTGCTAAAGCAACACTTGAGTGGTTTAAGAGGAAACATGTAAATGTGTTGGAATGGCCTAGTCAAAACCCAGACCTCAATCGAATAGAAAATCTGTGGTAAGACTTAAAGATTGATGTTCACAAGTGCAAACCATCCAACTTGAAGAAGGAGGAATGGGCAAAAACCCCAGTGGTAAGATGTGGCAAGCTGATAGAGACTTATCCAAAGCGACTTGGAGCTGTGATTGCCACAAAAGGTGGCTCTACAAAGTATTGACTTTAGGGGGGTGAATAGTTATGCACATTTACTTTTTCTGCTATTTTGTGCTATTTGCTGTTTGCTTCACAATAAAAAAAAAAGAAAATCTTCAAATTTGTGGGCATGTTCTGTAAATGAAATGATACAAATCCTCAAACAATGCATGTTAATTCCAGGTTGTGAGGCAACAAAACACGAACAATGCCAAGGGGGTTAAATAATTTTGCAAGGCACTGTAAGTAGAGCAATGCAGGATGCAGTGGGGCTTACAGGGTACTGCACATTCCTGTTAGGAAAACCAAAGGTGAAAACAGCTACATTGATTTATGGCTTATAAGTATTCAAAGTCTGCTTTCAAGTCTGTCTAGATGAGAGGGAGTGATGTTTTTTGTATCCTGTTTCTTTAGAGCTTGCTAATGTCCATAATTCTCAAGTGAAAATGAACAAACTAACATTGGTACTATTAGATTTCAGCAAAATAAAAGTAGTAAAATAGAATTATAGCTATATGACAAGAAGGCTAAATTTGTGGGAACATCCATAGGGCTAAAACAGCTCTCAGTCACTCGCTTCATGTGGCTCGACTATCCAAGGTACATTATCGTGCTTCATTCATTTGCCCTCCCCCCGACAATTCTGCACAATTTTAAAATATTTCAGGGTACACCCACTATCAGGCCCATGAGTACTTGTCTGATATGCCAGACTCAATGTTCGCTATCCCTTTGCATCACAGTGCCAAGGGTAAAACGTCAAATGGTGTTTTAAAGTTACCATGCAAATTTGGTTTAAAATATATTCTGATACACGGTGACATGCACAATTGTGTAATAACAATGTAAACAATGTTTACAATCTGTATTTAACAGATGTGTATTCCTACATGCTGTAGTGGCCATTTAGAGCCCTGGCTCATATGTGTAGTGAGTAAATGGAAATGTATTGGATGTGTCAATTATCAATTATCAATTAAGTCAATTATAAAAAATGAATCTGTTATCTGTGATGAACTTCACAGATAAAATCTGAGAGACAGCACTTGAGGTCCCATTCACTAACTGATAAGTTGGCTAATTACTTGCAAACTATTGACCACACAGCAGATAAAAAAACACTCCAACGCAATCTCTTTTTTTTTTTAAATCTCTCCATCTTAAATACTTTAGGAAAAATTCAACAAGTCAGTTGACAGACTGTCATAAATCACTTTTTAGTGAGTAGACCTCTAGATAATACACCTCATTACAAACTGTTATCCAAACAACTATATTTATCATACAATATCTGGGCGCTTCTAAATTTTACTCCTGCCAGTGAATTCTAATGAAAGCAGTTAGCTTTGCCTGTCAGCATCTAGAACAAGTTTTTACTATGCATTTAAAATGTCAAATGCTGTGTTATTTAAAAAGTCTAGAATATTTTGAACAGCACTGAAATGATTGTAGCTGCTTTAAATGCTCCTTTCATGATAGGGGCATGTAGGGTAAGGGGGACTAAGTATTAGTGTAAGAGGAATAATTGGGGTTAGGCGTTTACATTAGGCTATACGGCATTCGTTTTAGGGAGATTTAAGAGAAGGGTTATATGTATTGATGATTCTATGGAACACCCATCTAATTCAATCAGCCCAACAGTCCACAGCATGCCTAGAGGCAATGACAGACAGGGATTTCACCCAAAGAAACCAATTTATTGTGTGGTATATACAGCTGTATTTTGCAGTCCATTATAAATGGGGCTGTGATGACAATATACTTTTTGAATTATTACATTCTGAGAAATCTACACTGATACTCCCTCAGGGTTATTCACTAAACTGTGAATGAACAGAAATTCAAAGTGTCTGGCGCTCGGTGAATGAGCAGAGCATGGTCATGAAAACTGATTGCTGTGGTCATGGAGGGAGCAATTAAAGTGATATGCACCAGCTGCTGGTGCAGACCACATGCTCCTTTGAAGGATTTGACTGATATTTAAAGTGGCACTATCACACAGTACTTGCCTTTTCCCAATTGCTTCCTATTTCCTATGCTGACTTTCTCTTTTTAAATTTTTTTCATCCATTTCCAACTAAAACATAAGACAAAGTAGGGACTACTTTGTTTTATGTATTTTTCCTACGCTTGACACTTCTAGCCACTGGGTGGAGGTAAGTAGAACTCACCTTTCCGTGCCCCCAAACAACCATACATACTAGTATCCTACAATAGGAATGGATTGTAATTATGACTAATTGGTTTTTTATTGATGTCCAAAGTGTGCGCATTTCTATGTAGTGTATGAAAAGCAACCTGAACAGAAACCTTTACTATCTATGGCAGCGATATTATTTGTTTCTGAATACAGTTATTTTGCTTGTATTCCCCAGATCTCGGAAAAATTAACATCACGGTGAGGCAGCGTTAGGCATGTACAGGAAAAAAATAAAATTTACAGCAGGATTGGGAAAAAGGTTGATCCCTAGATGTTATCGAATTAAACTGCCATGATGTTTTGCCACCATTTAGAATGACACAGCATCACGGAAGTTGCAGTTCGAAAACATCTGGGGACCTACCATTTGCTGACCTCTTCTTTAGATCATAGTCACAATCACTGCTGTTGAGTTAAGTCATGTTTATATGAAGCTTCACCTGCACTTCAATGATAACATGAACAAAATCCATTTACCATGATTATCAGGATATCAATGATGTTAATAACTCCTAAAGACTATGTCTTTATTCACACAGAAATATAATAATACATCCCTTCTGTATCTGTGTGCTACTGTCTAAATGCCTGTTCAACTATTGCAGTTTCTGAACACACACTCCACCACAAAGTAAACTGTAAATTGACAAGTACACCTTGTATATACATATGCATGGATTTGCATAACTGGTGAAACCCTCCTATAAAAACAGAGTCAGACTCTGTTTACAGTACAGTTACATAGCTTAAAAGAGACTTTTGTCCATCAAGTTCAGCCTTTCTCACATATGGTTTTTGTTAATCCAAAAGAAGGCAAAAACCCCAGTCAGAAGCGCTTCCAATTTTCCAACAAACTAGGAAGAAATTCCCTTTTGACCCCAGAGTGGCAGTCAGATGTCTCCTTGGATCAAGCAGCTATTACCCCACTAATTAAAACATATCCCTGTATATTATGTTTTTACAAGTATTTATCCAATTGCTGTTTAAAGGGACACCCTAGGCACTGTATCTGCTTCATCTCATTAAACTGGTTATAGTGTCTGGAGTCCCCTGGTACCATCATTTCTTTCAGCATTAAACAGTTTTTAATGTTGTAATGTTTTAATGCTAAACAAGAGACCCCGGCTGTCCATCCTTTATGTTCTGCTTTGGCTAATAAGGAAGTATTAGCCTGAGAGGCAATGGGCAGCTGTGATTGGCTGAGAGTGTCAGCTGACCGCTTTTAGCCTGTCAGAGCCCCAACTGACGGTATGAATAGGAATGACAACAAGGAAGTGTGTAATATCTGCCTTAGCTACACATACTGAAGAGGCCAGACTGTGGGTAGCCAGGGACTTATTTTGTGGCATACTGCACAAACATGGTGCAACACTGAATGGAGGGACAGTGCCAGGACACTCCAGGCACTATAACCAATCCACAGAGACGAAATGGTTATAGTGACTACAGTGTCCCTTTAAACATCTGTATAGACTCTGATAAAACCACATCTTCAGGCAGATACTTCCACATCCTTTCCTTTGCCAGTTCACAGTATTGTCATGAACATGGGTAAGTTCGATATGCCACCACTCCTCACCAAAGGTATACCAAGGGCATTGGCCTATGATACCTGAATGATATCTGAAGTTGGCCCCGCTTGTGTGTTTGCCTTGAGAGCTGGTAGGACAAAAAGTGTCAACAAATTGGACCAAACACAATTACCCATGTGAATATATATTGAAATTGTTTCTGTATTGCCACTTTAAGTATAATAATTACTTTCAGACTCTAGTGTATAAATGATTATGGAACATTCTTTATTTTTACATTTTTAGCTTTTATCATTATGTTTTTCATTTTAAACGGTTTTGATTGAATTGGTAGGAATTTTAAGACATATCTTGGGCTTACGTAGTACAATCTAATTTAGGATCAAAGCATTTTCAATTCAGTCATTTATGATTAACACATTTCACTCTATGAATACTCTTTTAAAAATTCTAGTACAGTACGTTCTGGCATTTTATAGTTACATAGTCAGTAAGAATATAAAAAGTCCATCTAATTCATCCCTTCTCAGATACCCCTGAGGCAAAAGCGAATAAAAATGCATATTTCCTATATCTGTTGATCTTTCTTGCTAAAATTCTAGCTGTGACTCATTTTAAATTTTTTTTAATGAGTAACCAAGATTTTTATTCCCTACTTCAGATTTAACGATGGAAAGGGGACATACTACAAGATGTCTTGGTAGAGTTCCATTCTGTTACAGGTTAATATGTCTAGATATTCTGAAGCTCCGTATATTTCAAGTGAACCTGTCGCTAAAATAATAGTGTTACATTTATGCAAGGAACATAGAACCTGTCTATGGTATAATATTTGTTAAAACAGTTAAACAGTTTTTTATAGGTACTGTAATGAATATGGAATCTAAACACTATACAAGCATTTAAAATGTAATATAAACCTAGTTTAATTTTTAAATGTAAAAATAACCGTTTCTTACTTTATTTTCATTGATTTCCTTTCCTCACTGATATATAGATCCATTGCAAGATGTTTATAGGGGCAAACACCATATTTACTAGACATCTTTAGAATAGATATTCACAGACGGCATGTTTTATTTGCCTAATTATAAAATAGATTAAAACATATTTGCTTTACCCTTTATTCATCTTCTATTTTTTAATATTACTTTAATTTTGTCACAAAGGCTGTAGTGAGCATACAGCTGTTTTTCTATTACTGTGCCTGGATGATGTTTCCTTGAAATCAATATGAGCCACTCACACATGCGCAGTTCAGCTATGAGTGACTACCTTGAATGGCTACCATTTTCCTCAAGGAAAGTCATGTGTGCTTGTAGATTGTAGAGATCAGGATTGGCTAGGGAGCCTGGAAAGATTTGTGACAAAAAAAAATGTTTTTAAAGTATTTTTTAAGCAAAATAGTCCCCACCCCCCCCCCGACCCAATGTTTTGTTGAATATATGTTTTTAAATGCTACAATGCATATAAAAATATATATATAAAATCCAAATTAAAACAGTTTGGTAACCTCACAATTTAATGAACAGCTAGTCCAGGATGGCAAATAAATAAGTGTGGGCCTTGTTAAAAATAAAAACCTATTATATTGTATTCCAAAGTGATAGTAAAGAATATACCACTTAAACAACTATTTCACCTTTCTAGGTAACCTAAAAAAAATAGCATTGATGCCATACTTTCGTAATAAAATTAGCTTTATGGTCAACCATTAAATATGCTAGTCAGTTCGACTTTTATTTTTCTAAGAACAATCATGTGTAAATACATGCTGCAACTTTGCCTTTAAAATAAGGTTGTCCTATTTTATTATTCATATAAGGTTTATTTAAGCATACTTGGACACTTGCTGGCTTTAGAGCTTGTGCTTAGAACTCGCCCAGTCCCATTGGTTAAATGCATGCACTCCCTAATAAAATGTCTTATAATTGGTGAATCTTGCATGGGAGAGGAGGGGTTTATTAAATGTGCAATGCTTTAAAGTGTCCTAGCAATTTCTTTGTTAAAGACCACTGCCCAAATCCTAAAAATAAATATAATGCTTAGTAAATATACTCTTAATGAAAACGTGTATGTATGTAATTATGCATTTTTTTTTCAATTGGGGGTATATTTGAATATAGCTTGCAAAACCTGCAGATCTCTTGCCCGAAGCCTTTGCAAGCACTCCCCTTTTAACCCAGATTTTCTGTGGCTGTCCAATCAGTCTTCCCAATGCAGCTCAATGAGAAGTCTTTGCAAGGCAGGTTCTCTGGGCAATTGCTGCCTCTTGAGTTTAGTTTCACTGAGCTAACCAAACCAGGAAGTAACATGACCCATTGACCGATTGACAGCTAGGGTGGTGTGACAAGGTCAAATTCTAAAACTGTCAATTTCTATTGAAATCTGCACTTTTTGTAAACTGAAAAAAAGAGGATGCAGAGTTCACACCCAAAGCCCTTTGGCAAGCTAAAGTGGTTTAGGGGTCTGGAGTTTTCCTTTAAGAGCTATTACATCTATAAACGATGATATCATAATACATTCCACATAGAGGATTCTCCTACTACTGATAATATCACTGCGAAAGTGTTACTATAAATGCTAATTCCAGTGATAATGATATGCAGTTTTCAACTTAAGTAGCTTAGCATTTCTCATTGCTATGCTTTCAAGGTAAATTGTACTTTGAATAATAAAATATAATTTATTAGGTTGAAATAAACATATCTGCTCCTTTATTTTTTGAGTGACTATTTTCTTTAGGTAATTATTGAAAAGTATATATTTTTGTTAACTAAACAAAGAGAACAAATATAATTTAGAAAAAAAATCACTAATATAAACTATTCTTACTTTTTACTATTTTGCAAGTCATTTCTCACTACAACAACTTTTTATTTAATAGATTAAATTGTTTCTTTGTGTAAATGGCCCTTCCATTTTCTATGCTTTTCCAGAATTGATCTATACTTTATGAATGTGTAAGCCACTTCCTTCCTATAATGTAATAATCTTAGATGTGTGACAGGGGTCAGTAGTTTAAACAGCCATAAAGCATTCTTCATTCAGTAGTGGGTTGGATGGAGCAAGTCTGATTGATTAGAGCAGCCTTAATGATTAGAGCAGTATATACTCACGTAAAAGGTCTGTGGCCATATACTCTATAGAAATATAAATCTATACATCTTAACTTATGGTAACCTACTTAAAATATATATTTAATTAAAATCCCCATTTTAATTTGATTAAATTACCTGACATACATTATAAAGCATCAAAATGAATAGTAAAAAAAATGGCATTGTATAATACCCAATGCTTATATTATTCAAATAAAAATATCAAAGATGGTCAGAATTGTAATTTCTATTAAGTAACTAAAGCATGCAACACAGACATAAGGATCTGACAGACATTAATCAAAGTTACTAATAAAAATGGGAATGTGATATACATTGAGCATATGAATTCATGCAATATTATGAAATTTACATTCATTTTCTAAATAATACGCACAAGTGCAGATTGAATGAATTTGCATAAAACCAAGAACATAATATTAACAATTTGCTACATCTCAGAAGAAATGTCTAAATAAATTGTTCTTTTACTCTTTAAATGGCATTAAAAATATTTCATTCATCTTTTTTTTTTATTACAAAAGTAATATTCACATAACTGATAAAGTGCTTTATTTACTGGCCTTTTGGTCTGTAATGTAATCTTATTAGTATCTGATAATGTTAAATGGGGGTTATTGTAGTGCTTTAAATCACAGATTTTTTTTGATTTTTTTTTCTAATTGCATGTGACCACGTTTTTACAGTAAAAACCAGGCACAAAGGGAAACCAAACAATGCATTTTAACATTCAGATTCCACTTTTGGTTTTTATATCATAAACATTAACTGAGCAGAGCACATCACTTAGGGGCTGCTTACTCATCAGGTATTTGAATGGTTAAATACAATAGAATGTTCTCTCACTTTAAAAAAAATCTTTATTAACATATCCAAAAATGTAAACGTAAGGTCTCTCCCTTACCTGCAAATGTCAAAGACTATATTAACTCTGCTGGCAAAAGAGTTGACCCTCTGAAAATAAAAAGGGTTAAAGTGAAATGAAAATCTCACTTGTTTGGTACAAATATTATAGATAAGAGCCAAGGAAGGATTTTTGCATTTTTTTTTAACCTTTTTTCATTCTTTGCATATTAATCATGATTGTGGCAGTCAGGTAGCTTTCTTGGGATAGAAAACCATTAGTTGATGATTCATTTATAAGGAAAGAAAAAATGGTAGGAGGTTTGACATTACCGAAAGCATTTACCGATAAAATCTAGAGATTTGATAAAGATGAGTAATCTCATCATCAGATGTGAAAAAAATAATAATCCTATTTATACTGACATAATCATTTTGTAGCTAGACACCGTAACCATGGCAATAATGAACACCAAAATTTTGATTTACACTGGTATAACAAAAAATATATATGTAAAGAAAAAGGGGAATACTGATAATTCCTAACTTATTCCATCATTTCCACATGGGTGAAATGAATGTTAAGTGATTACAGTGCATTTTGTGGGACCAGGCACACAGGTACACAGGCACACGCACACACATCAAAACATTTGACCTTTCACCCTAGAACTTACATTGCTTATGAGCACTGTCTCAACACATCCATGTAGTAACATTGTGAAAATTGCCTTTATGTGGCATGCCCCTGTCCTATATGCAGGCATTATGATTGTCAGTGCAGATCATGGAGCAGGAGAGTCCCTCTACATCAGTCTGACTGCTGTTAGGTGGTTGTGGTGCTGCTGTTGCTGCAGTTTTCATGAGCAGGGTATATCTCATCGTAAGGAGGGGGTTGCTCATTGGGCAAAGGGTAGCTGTAAGGGTAGGATGGGTTTAAATCGGGGTCCATGGGGGAGTACCCTGGCAACTCCAATGATGGATGCCCCCCACAATGTACCTCCACCCCTGCCTCATCAAATAGATGGAACACCCCAACATTGATGTAGGAGACTGACTGGAAGGGAAAATCCCCAGGGGAAAAATCATGTTCTTCATTAGAGAAGATGGAGCCTCTGCTTTGACTCTGAAGCCTCCTGCTCCCACATCTCCTCCTTCTTCTGCGGCGTTGCTGCGAGGACTTGTAGTTTTTTACCAGCAGAAGGTTTATCATTCCTAGCAGGCACTCCAGTGAGTTAAAAATAGTGGAGATCACTAAACCACGCTGGTAATCCTTTAACTTTTGACATTTGGTGACACTGCTACCTCCACTGGGAAGTGGCTGCTGTAAGCAGTAGTGTGAATATTTCCTCTCTACAAGTGATACAGTATCCCCGTCTATAACAGCACCCGCAAAGGCGCTTAGTACCCCCAACATGAAAACCAGCACTCCAAACAGGAGAAAGTTCTGGCTTCCAGGTTTGGCTTCCCCAGCAGCATCCTCCTGGCAGCAAAGCAGAGCAAAGCCCAGAAGGGAAAGACCAGCAGTAAGCAGCACCCCAGAGTAAAAGGCGCCAGCAGCCGTACCCAGGCGGAATGGCTCACCCTTCAACTCAGAACCCAATGAGTAGCACTTGAGGCCCACCGCAGCTGCGCTCAGGGCGCAGGCAAGCAAGAAGCAGCTGGAGAGGGCGGCGCAAGCTCCGCGGACACCCCACTTCATCCTCTGTGCTGGCCTCTCCTCCACCACCCCCTCCTCCTCTCCTTCTCCTCTTCCTCCTCGTCCTGTGCTCCGGCCGACTCTCTCTCCTCATCCTCCTGTGTCCTCCTCCCCAGCTGCCCTTCCCAGGAAGGAGGTGGTGGTGGCCAGGGAGGACATGCTTTAAGTATTGGCTTTGGAGAGCTGCATACACCTGGTCTCCCGGCAGCTTCTTCCCAGCTCGCCGTGTCCAGTCAAAATCACCAGCAGCAGTAGCAGCAGCATGCAGCAGCACGTCTCCCCCTCACTGCACCTTCTCTGAATCTGCACATTGCATTATCTCATAGCTCTTACAAGGAGATTAAATATTGATGCGAGAGAGGGAGGAATAAAAGAGAATGTGCCGAGAAATATAAAGGAAGCCTGTCAGACTTCACACCAGCCAGCTCTGCTGCACGCCAGTCCGTTTTAGGCTAGAGAAAAACCAATCACTTAGCAGTTGATGTCATGAAGTCTACACAGAGCTAGTTCCCTCCCCTAGATATGCTATCTTTAACCTGTCTATCTTCAAAGCAGAGAAGAGGTTAATGGTGCAACAGACAAGAAGTATCAAAAGAGAGTGTCTTCATTGTGTGATCACTGCACAGAGAAAAAAAAAAAGAAAAGCACGAAAAAAAAACAAAAAAAAAACAGATGCAAGACTGCTGGTCATACGTACACAATTTAACGAGTTAATTGATATTTTCCTTTCAGTGAATTTGCATACCTACCAATTAAACAAAATGGTGCAAATATTCTCGAGAAGCAGCCCACTTATTCTAGTTAATTGCCAAATAAATCTTTTTTTCTTTTCTTTTTTTTTTTTTGGATTGAGCTCACTAGGCAACAACTATGGGTGAGGGGCAGCTTGAATAAATGTGCTATGCATAGCAACAACTCGAGTATTTCAGTATGCGAACTTTGGCATTCTAGACTGGATACATGTTAATCTGTTGTATGTACAGGCCCAGTATGTGATGTTTTCAGACCCTTGGCACGAACATAGCTGCTACTTGGTAAAAGTAAATACTAGCTTTTAGTGGGCACTTTGCCTGGTGCTTTTGTTTTGGAAGTTTACATACAAGGAGAGACCTCTGTTACCAGAACTGCTGCGGACTGTGACTCCTGCAGTGGCAGAGCAGCTTGTGTGATAAATGATTGCTCACAATAAATGCGAGGCACGGGTCAAATGGCAATCTTGACAATGACAATAAAATTGGCATCGGATAAGGAAAACAAAAACCCGCACTAACAATAAACTATGTAACAAATAAGCATTGTCTATATGCATTTATCAATGTTAAGAATTTGAATGCATATGTTTGTTGTTTCCCCATTTTCCCTGCAGTTTGATTTTTTTTAATTTGGGATAAAGTCAACAAATACCCATGGAGATTCGAAGCAAGGCAGTATGGATACGTGTCTCTTCTTGTGTAGTGATTGATACCACGATCAAACATGGTTTGAAGAGAAGAGAAATAAGTATTTTGCCTCCTTAAGATGTGGCACCTCTAACGCCCCACATGGCAAAGAAAGGTGCAGGAACTGAAGTACTCGGTCGGTCTCATTATGCAACACAAAATTTTCAATCTGCTCCAGGCTAGAGTGTAATGTTATACCATAGAAGCATTAAAGCATCACAGAATACAGTTTTGAATATAACTTCCAAATTCTGTATCAATTATACGACTGTCATTTAATTACGTTTATTCTACATTTCAAAGCTCAAAAAACCCCAAATATGTTTTATTTATTTATTATTTCCCTTCTAACTTTTTTTTATATCATATTACATTACACAGGTCTTCTCTTAAAGGTGACAGCAACATCTTCTCCATCTACTGATCCCAATCTCAGTCAGTCAAAATACCTTTTGGTTTTAATGCATGAAAACAAGTGATTAGGCTCCAAGACTCTGTTTATACGTCCCCATGTCATCCAGTTGGTTCTCACCTGAAATGTGATCATTTGGACTTATTGGGCCATAATGAGAACTCTCTTGAGTTTTCCAGTGCTAAACCCTTTTCACAGGTTTCAATTCAATGTTAGATATCTACAACTAATACGAATGATGGTTCTACCAAATATGT